AAGTCCTTTTTTTTTTTTTTTTTTTAAGATAGGGTCTTGCTCTGTTGCCCAGGCTGGAGTGCAGTGGCGCGATCAGAGCTCATTGCAGCCTCGAATTCTTGGGTTTAAGCGATCCTAACACCTCACCTCCCAAGGAGCTGGAATTACAGGCATGAGTCACTGTGCTCACCCAGCAAGCTTTATTGCTTTACTTTTCACATTTACATGTATTTGATCATAACACATTTGCAATTGATTTTTGAGTACAGCATGTGATAGAGGTCAAGGTTAATTTTGTTTTCCATGTGGATATCCTCGACTCAGCAACATATGTATGCCCCCGCTAATCTGCAATGTCACCTTTGTTATAAACCAAGTTGTTTATAACATACATAAATGCAATTGTGGGTCCCAGGGGCACCTTTTTGGGGAACTCAAGCCAGGACACTGTATCTGTTGCTCTTCACAGCTGACATCCATTCCTCCCCACCCACAAACAGCTGCCCCTTGGCCACTGCCCATGCCTATGGGCATGCGCACCAGTAGTGCCACTGACCCTTGGTACATGGGCCCAGGGAGGAGCTCTGCACACGGCCAAGAAGTAGGCTTTGTTCTTTGGACAGTGAATTCTAGTTCCCTGGTATCTGGCATAACCTAGAAAGTGAGGAGGTGACAGTCTCCAGGTGGCCATAGCTCCTTGACCTCAAGAACGTCTCATCTGTAGGGAAGAATGTGGCTAGAGCCCGGCCAGAGAGAGGGCCTCTAAAGCTTTCTTACGTGGGCCTAAGAGTGGTGCTCCTAGGAAGCAAGCCTCAAAATCCTGAACTACTGCTCCCGCCATGTCTTTTCTTTGTATCCTATACTTAGACCCCAAAACAAAATGAATTTTCCCTACATAGGTTACTTTGATCTGTTTGTTACATTGGTTAATTTGTCTCTTCTTAGGCCAAAATCATGCTTCCTTAAGCTTTGTACTTACATACTATACAGCCTTGTGCTTACATACTGTAAATTTGATAGTCGGGTTTTGATACCTGGCAGTGTTACGCCCCTCCAACTTTCTTCAAGATCACCTTTGCTATTCTTGGTCATTTGCGCATCTATATAAATTTTTGAATTACCTTGTCAATTTCCGCGAATAGCTCTGCAGATATTTTCTTTGGGATTATATTGAATCTATAGATCAATTTGACACCTTAACAATTTTGAGTCTCAATCATGAACATGGTACATTCTTTCATCATTTTGTGCTTTTAAAATTTCTCTCAATTTTGCTTTGTAGTTTTCAGTGTAGAGGTTATGCACAGCTTTCATTAGATAGTCCTACTTACTTCACCTTTACATTGGTGCTACTGTAAATTGTATCTTTTTAAAATTTCTTTTCCTATTTCTTTGTTGTTGACATATAGAAATACAATTTATATCTATATATTTACCTTGTATCTAGTGACTTTCCTATGTTCAGTTATTCATTCAAATTGTTTATAAATTCTTCAGGATGCACTATATATTATAGAACCATGTTATATGTGAAAATGACAGTCTTTTTAAAAAATTTTCCCTTACTAAATAAGTTATTTGATGGTACTATAAATGGAATTGTTTTCTTAATTTTTTTCTTGGATTGTTTTGGACTGTTCCAAAAGTTTGCTGAATTTGTTTATTAATTCTAACATTTTGTGTGTATGTATGTGTGGGTAGCCCTTGGGGGTTTTTTTGGTAGGATTTTTTACTTATATGTTATCTGTGAATAGACTCAATCTCTTTAACTGGTGTGAAATTGTTCAAATTTTGTATTTCCGTGTCATTTTTGGTAAACAACAGTATATTGTTGTGCTTTCTTCGCTGACTCATGGATTATTTAGCATTGTACAATATCACTTAATCTCCATGTAACTTAATTCCACTATTGTTAGAAAAGTGTTTAGAATTATTTCGATCTTTTGAAATTTCTGGAGTCTACTTTGTAATCCAGGATATAGCCAGTTGTTAAAATGCACGCTCTGCATGAAGGGACCCCTAAACAGGCTTTGTATGAGCAACATGGCTGTTTATTCACCTGGGTGCAGGCGGGCTGAGGCTGAAAAGGGCGTCAGTGGAGGGCAGTGGGATAGGAGTTGGTTTTATAGGTTTGGAATGGGCAGTGGAAAGTTACAGAAGTTACAGTTGGTGGTTTCTTACAAGCTGGGAGGGGGTCACAGGTTTGCAAGCTGGGAGGGGGTCGTAGGGTGTGGAGTCATGAGGTTGGCTAAAGTCCAATGGCTTTGTCAATTGAAGCAGGGATAAGAAACAATAGAAGAAAGTCTCACGTTAGTTATGCCCCATAGGGGTTGATCTTTCTTCCAGGATCTCATCTGGGGTGTACGTGCAGGTCACCAAGATTACCATGCCATTCATGGAGCAGTCAGACCTTACACCAGTTTGGGCAAATTCCTTACATTTTTTTTTCAAGATTGCTGCTGACTGTATGTCCTGTCTCCAGGACACACCCAATTCTAAGAAGAAGGCACACCCATATTCTAAGGTCTAAGCTAGGAAGTGATACATTTCACTCGCTCACATTCTTTTGGCAAGAATACATTCACATATCCACATGGCTTAATGCTAGGAGCTTAATGCTTAAAACTAGGGGTTTAATGCTAGGAGGGAAAGCTGAAATTTTGGAACAGATTCTCCTCCTATAAGACAGCAAGATAGTGGCAAGCCGTCCCACAGATAGTGTTCCATCAGACTGGTCTGATTTGGATCACTTTCCTATGTTTTACGTGTTGCTGTGGCAAAAGGGATGGAAAGTAATCCTGTTGGACCAAGCCCAGATATTCATTTCCTTTATCAATAACAGACACTGTTAATCCCACAAAAGCCACAATAAACAGGTTCCAAGGAGGTCAGGTGTTGTGGCTCATTTCTGTAACCCTAGCACTTTGGGAGATCAAGGTGGGCAGATCACTTGAGGTTAGGAGTTTGAGATCAGCCTGGCCAATAGGGTGAAACCCCGTCTCTGCTAAAAATATAAAAATTAGCCGGGTATGGTGGCATGTGCCTGTAGTCCTAGCTACTCTGGAGGCTGAGGCAGAGAATCGCTTGAAACCCAGAGGCGGAAGTTGCAGTGAGCGGAGATTGCACCACTGCACTCCAGCTCCGGCGACAAAGCAAGGCTCCCTCTCATACAAAAACAAAAACAAAACAAAACAAAACAAAAAGGTTCCAAAGAGGAAAGACGAGTTACTTTACAAAGAAAAGGGAATAAGCTGGGCGTGGTGGCTCATGCCTGTACTCTCAACACTTTGGGAGGTTGAAGTAGGAGGATGGCTTGAGTTTAGGAGTTCGAGACCAACCTGGGCAATATGGTGAGACTGTCTCAATAAAAAAAAAAAAAAAAAAAAAAATGGGGGTAGGGAATAAGTAGTACCACACAAAACCTAAAACTAAAAAACAAAAATGGTGCTCACTACAAAAAGTGAGAAAAAGGAAAAAGGTAGCTTCTGGATTTGGACATTCAAAGGTCACTGGTGTTCCTAATGAGATCCACAGTTGTGGAGTGACAGAGAGAAGCCACCTGTGGCGCAGGAGTCGTCAGTGGGTGGGGAGGAATGGATGTAGCATGGTGAAAGTGGACGTCACTTTCAAGGTGATCAACTGTAAAGAGCAGCAGATACAGCGTCCTGGCTGAGTTCCCCAAAAAGAGAACAAGAATTTGAGCTCAAGTTCAGTTTCCTGGGAGGTGATCCCAAGAAACATCAGTAGAAGACTGGGGTAGTGAGTCTGGGAAAGGAAGGAAGCCAACAGAAGATGCCTTGAGGCGCAAGTTACAGCTGTGGACAACTGCAGCTCGAGCCTACAAATAATGACCGAAATACCCCTAGGAAACATGCCTCCCCGCAGGGCATTCTCGACCAACTTTGTCCCTTGTGGAGGGAGAGCAGCTGGGAGGGAATCCAAGAACCCAGCGCATCTGAGCCTGCCCATTTCTGCTCTAAGCAAGCTCTCTACAGCCAGCGAATGCCTCCAGGTGGAGGCGGTGCGCAGGACCGGCAAGTGCGTGCCTGGAGGCCCTGTGGAATTTGGGCAATGATGGGAGAGAGAAGGGCGCTTTTACAATATGCTCAGTAGATACCGTGAGCACCGGGAAACAGGAAGGGGAGAGGACCTAGGGGTTCTTTCTCTAAAGAAGAGTAAAAGATGCGAGGCGCAGGGCTGATACGGGTAATTTATGGGGAGTGTAGGAAGTTTGTGGGAACTCTGATGATCATTGTCCTCTTTGTCCATCAAATGCAGCAACATGGTCTAAAAGGAAGTTAGAGTGGCAAACAGAACCTAAGGAACTTTTAAGAGCCACTCCCCACCGCTCACAGGGAAATCGAGGTCCGGAGAAGGGAAAGCAAGTGGCCGAATGCCGGTAAAGGGCAGGAAGAGAGCGGAGACCAGGGGTCCAGGGGGCCGGTTCGGGACCTGCTTCCACCAGCGGAGTCGAAGGTCATCCCCTTGGCCATGCGCCACCCAGGTCTCGGCGGAAGGAAGGAGCACTCGACCCAACAAAACGGACGCCCCGAGTCTTCGTGGTCGTTAAGCAAAGAAGGGGAAGCGCATCTTCACTAGGCCACAGGACCAGGCCTTAGAACTTTTGGGTTTTATCCATAAAAGATCCTTAGGAAACAGAAGAAATATCCAGATCGAGCCATGCAAACAGTGATCTTCCGCCGGCACCGCCTCCCGGCTGCGACCTAGGCTCTGGAGGAACCGCCCCAGGCCCCCGGCACCGGCTCCACCGCACAGTCCGCGCGCGGCGGTAAAGCCGCGCCCACGCAGCGAGCCCCCAACCCTGCTCCCCTGCCGCCACCGCCCCGGGGAGGGTGCGGAGAGGGCGCGCCGCGGCCCACGGACCCCTGCAGAGCGCTGCTGAGCAGGGCCGCGCGGAATCACGGGCCGGAGGCGGGGCCGCGCCGGGGCAGGCGGGCGTGCGGGCGTGCGGGCGTGCGGGCGGCGCTTTACACTCCGGCGGACGCGCGGACGCGCGGGCGCCCGGGCGCGGCGCCGCCGGCACCGGAGAGGCGCGGCTGCCGGCGCGGGCTGCGGGAGCCGGGCCGCGGCGGGCGCCCGGGCGGGGTAGCGGTCTCTGCCGCCTCGGCCGGCTGGTCCCTGCGGCGGCTGCCCGGAGGCCTGGGCGCGCGGCCCTTCGCCATGTACACCTTCGTGGTGCGCGACGAGAACAGCAGCGTCTACGCCGAGGTCTCCCGGCTGCTCCTCGCCACCGGCTACTGGAAGAGGCTGCGGCGAGACAACCCCAGGTTCAACTTGATGTTGGGAGAGAGGAACCGGCTGCCCTTCGGGAGACTGGGTGAGCCCTTCCCCATTTCCCGCCTGCCCTCCCCGGAGCGGCCCTGCGCGCCGCCCGCGGCCCGTTAGAACCAGCGCTTTTGTTTTTAAAGGTCGCACATCTTCCTTCTGTCGCTTCTCGGGCATATCAAAACAGATCCGGAAAGATCGAAACCTGTCGTTTTTAATGCTTTCTTGCCTCCTGACTTGGACTTAAGAGTTGGAGTCGTGGTGCGGCCACTCAGGGCTACAGCTGCCTCCTGACAATGACCGGTCCCTGCAGCCCGGGAGACGTCAGCCGCCGGGGCTGGGACCTGGGGCGCGCGTATCGTGGCTCCCCGGATCTGACGCCCCCAAATCGGGCAGGTCCGCCTGGGCGGGGCACGGCTCCGCAGAGCCGGAGGCTGGCGTCTGCTGGAGTCATCTTGCAGCTTTTCTGCACTGAGGATTTCTGCCTGCTTGGCGTGGACGCAGTAGGGAGAGCTGTAGGTGTTGAAACCCCTAAGGCTTCTGCCACCCAAAGGCGCGGAGGAACGGTCAGGGAGTTTGGAAAAGACCTCTGGATATCAAAAGCAGGAGCTGCAGAAGAGACCCTAGCCCAGGGAAAAGATGTCTGATTTTAAACCTTTCCTTAGTTTCACCCAAAGAACATGCTTTCGCAGTTCTACATTGGATTAAGGTCTTACACGAGGCTGGGTTCACCCTCCCTCTCTTCCCTGCTGTCCCCGAGGGAATAACCTTCATCCACAGGGTTGAAGCTGGCTGGGCACCACCATACCCACTTGTCCGCGGGTAGGAAGGTGCAGGAGATAGCAGGGGACTAGATGCTCCTTTGTAAATGATGTCATCCAGAAGTTGCCCAGGTTGGTTCAACTCACATCCCGTTGACCTGAGCATAGTCTCATGGCCTCCCCTCGCTGCAGTCATCTGGGAAGTGCAGCTTCTCTGGGTAGCCATGTTCCCTGCCAGAATTCACCAGAGGTGGGGGCCAGTTGTATTCCAAAGACAAGGAGAGAATTGATATGGAGGAAGAGTCACTTCTGCCTTGGAGGGCAACGCAGAGAGAGCAGTGTTCTATGTCCAGAAGAGGAAACAGTTTTTAGAAATAGGTGTGGTCGGAGTTCGAATGGGTAAAAACTGAATATAGGCCATTTGGAATTGACTGGTCATTGGTGAGCTTCCAAAGATAGAGCCTTTGAAAAGGGGGTTGTGTAAAACTCTAATCGTTGGAGGAATGAAAAGCTGCGGTGTAAAGTTACTGAATTTTTTTATTTTGAATAGTGCCTGGGACAACTTTTCATTTGTATACAAGTTTATGATGTAGAATGGTGACTCCATGGAAGGGCCCATTTGAACACCCAGAAATCTCAGAATATGGAGACTGTGCCTGGAGAGTCCCTTTTGTTAACCGGTCTCAGGAAGACCTTCGCAAAGAGAATACATGACCTGAAAGGAAGGGAAGAATTGCTTATGGTTCAGAACAATTATTTCTTCCTTGCATCGTCTGCTTCCTTTCCAGACTTCCTGACTTTCCTCTGTATTCTTGGCAGTGCCTGGCTGTGAAAGCTTAGATGGAATCCTAACATTAAAAACAAACATTGCTCCGCCCAGGCGGAGACAGGAGTGACTGGCATTATTACCCAGGGGCTTAAGCCTAGGAATGAGAAGCAGAAGCCTATGGAATTTGAATCCTAAACAGGTACCACAAATTCAGCAGATGATTAGTAAACATTTGTTTTGTTTTTGTTTTTAAGACAGACTCACTCTCTGTCACCCAGACTTGAGTGCAGTGGCGCTATCTAGGCTCACTGCAGCCTCCACCTCCTGGGTTCAAGCAATTCTCCTGCCTCAGCCTCCCAAGTAGCTGGGATTCCAGGCACACACCACTATGCCCAGCTAGTTTTTGTATTTTTAGTAGAGATAGGGTTTCGCCATGTTGGTCAGGCTGGTCTCAAACTCCTGACCTCAGGTGATCTGCCTACCTCAGCTTCCCAAAGTGCTGGGATTACAGATGCGAGTCACCATCCCCGGCATACATTTGGTTTTTATGGAAAGAAAACAGCATGCTACAATGAATTTGGTTATATGTCATCACTATTAAGGGATATTTACCGTTTGCTTAAAGTGCACTACGTGAAAGCCAAGAAGATTTATAGAGCTAGGTAAAGGCTTAGGAAGGCTGGTGCCCTGTGGATAAGAAGGTAGGCAGTTCAGGTGGGAATCAGGCCTGTCTGTCCAAGGGGACCAGTGAGAGCCAGCTAATGCCTACCTGAAACTTGATTTGACTATATGCCAGTCTCAGAAAAATTATTCTTACTTTTGGCATTTTCAACTGAAAATTCCTTTGATTGGGCTTACTTTGGTTTCTGTTACTGGAAATGCAATGCATTTTATTAAAATTTGAAACAAAATGCTTTTTATTTTATTATTATTTTTTGAGATGAAGTCTCATTCTGTTGCCCAGACTAGAGTGCCATGATGTGATCTCAGCTCACTGCAACCTCTGCCTCCCAGGTTCAAGTGATCTTGTGCCTCAGCCTCCCAAGTAGCTAGAGTTGCAGGCGTGTGCCACCATGCCCAGTTAATTTTTATGTTTTTAGTGAAGATGGGGTTTTGCCATGTTGGCCTGGCTGGTCTTGAACTCCTGACCTCAGGTGATCCACCTGCCTCAGCCTCCCAGAGTGCTGAAATTACAGGCATGAGCCACTGTACCCGGCTGAAAACACTTTTCATTTTAAATAAAAATTTGTTTTACTTCGTACCCTTTCTGCTCTAATTTTATCTAAAAAGGCCACATGTAATAAGAGCTGTTGAAAATGAGTTTTCCCATGGAATGAGGCACAGAAGAAAGCTCTCATGGCTTCTGATTTTACAGACGTGGCCTCTCCACTACCTTCATTCACCTCCTAGAAGCTTGCAGAGATAGACTTGCTTGAGAGCAGCATCAATCTAGTTCTTCCTTCCTTCCTTGGTGTAGAAAGCCGGGTTACGGATGTGGAAAGCATGACTCTATTAAAGTAGCCTTACTATACAGAGTGACAAGTCTATATGTGTTAAGCCAGGAGGGGAGTGCAGTGTGCTGTCAGAGAGAGGTGAAATGAAAATTACCCTCAATGCCCTCCACCCTAACAAAAAAAAAACAAAGGTAGCAGCAGTTTTGGTAGACCTATGATGCTGATGTTATGATATCCACTGTGGGGAGACTGAAGGTTGCCAGCAGTATGCCAAGAGAAAGAGGGTCCTTGGGGACAGAGAAACAAAACTGTTCCATTTTCTAACAGCCAATCCTGAGATGAGAGAAGGAAAAGCCGGGCATGACACAGCTGTCCTCTCTCCTGCTTGCTGGTGTTAACATTGCCATTCCCCAGTTGTCCTGTGTCCCTTCTGACCCTCCTCTTTCCTTCCTAGGTCACGAGCCCGGGCTGGTACAGTTGGTGAATTACTACAGGGGTGCCGACAAACTGTGTCGCAAAGCTTCTTTAGTGAAGTAAGTGTGAAGACCGCCGTTTTCCAGTTTTTACCTAAATAAAAAACTTAGGCAAAAATGTGGGGTTACTTAAAAGGCAAACATGTTTTTATTTTAAAAGCCAACAAATACCAGTCGAGAAGCTTCCTCTAAGCCACTTGGGTTGCAGTCCAAAACATGTTGCTTGATAAAGCCTGCCTTCCTCTGAGGTGAGTCTCCTAGAAGCAGAGCCTGACTCAAGGTTTCCTGTGTAAGTGATTTCCTGGGGTACGGTTCTTAAGAGACACTCATCAGGAAGTGGCGGCTGGACATGGTGGCTCACACCTGTAATTCCCAGCACTTTGGGAGGCTGAGGCGGGCAGATCACTTGAGGTTGGGAGTTCAAGACCAGCCTGGCCAACATGGAGAAACACCTTCTCTAGCAAAAAACACAAAATGAACTGGGTATGGGGGCGGATGCCTGTAATCCCAGCTACTCAGGAGGCTAAGACAGGAGAATTGCTTGAGCCAGGAGGCAGAGGTTGCGGTGAGCCGACATTCTGCCATTGCACTCCAGCCTGGGCAATAAAAGCAAAGCTCCATCTCAAAAAAAAAAAGGAAGCAAGGGCACAGCAGGGCAGGGGGAGAACCAAGTAAAGAGGTGGTTTCAGCCAAAGTCTTGCCTCTCCTGACTCCAAGGAGCACTGAAGCGAATGGCACGTCAGAGTTGTCACATTTTGAGCAAGGGGACCAGGCCTCTGTGCCCCAGTATCAGTCAGCCATCAGCTGTGGGAAGAGATGGAGGGCGTAGTTTCACAGGCATTTCTGGGCATAGGCTGGTCCCTGGAGAAGGGCATATGTAGCCCTTAGCATCCGTCTCTCATATTAGCAAGGGGTCCCTCAGAAAGAATATCTGGGCAGGGTATAACAGCATTCACTCCACTGCCCATCCCTGAACAGTTGGATTATGGCCAGGTATCACCTCAGTATCACAAAGTGGAAGGTGACTGTGTTATACAACGATTAAGATCTAGGGTCAAAAGTGTAGGTTTTCATCCCAGCTCTTCCTCTCACTAGCTTGGGCAGATAACCTCATCCCTCTAAGCCTCAGTGCCTCTCTCTTAAGGCTATTATGATAATTAAATAAGGTGATGCATGTAAAGTTCATATAGCACAGTGGCCTGGTACATAATGAGTATTTGACACTGCCTTGATTTTCTTGGCTAAGTTGGGGAAATAGTAACTACCCTAGGTTGTTATGAGGATTAATTGAGCTAATTTAGCTAAGGGCTTTGAATAGTGCCTGTCTGTCGTTCACACTGTATTAAGTGAAAGCACACCTCAGTATTATTATTGCTATTAGTATAGTTGTCATTGCTATTATTGTTATTTCAGTAGGGAAACACTGGGTCAGGCCGCTAAAATCAGGGCTGTCATAGGTTTGCAGTATTCTTTCCATGATGACAGTTGAACATGTATGTGTAGCCAGGTACTAGGAGATATGACCCAATGCAAAATTCTCTTTTCCCACTAACATTTCTTTCTGGATGCTAGATATTTACTAGATTGGGTGCTCACAGGATCATTTCTGCTTTGTTTACTCATTGGCCTTGGTAAGTTATGTACCCACTCCTCTCTGTGATGGGTTTTCATGATTCATCCCATTCCTGAAGGAGAGTGAGGCTTCCTGAAGTCATCTTGTGATACATTTATATATTTAGAATGCAAATAACTGTTTCACTAGAATCGGAAATAGAAGTGGAACATGTTTGTTTATTCAGATTATTCACTTAGAAATTCTTTTTTTTATTATTTTATTTTTTGTAACTCCTCTGAGCTAATCACTTAGAAATTCTTATTAAATATTTATTAAACCTTTTCTGCTATGACTTTTTCCCTAAAGACAAAGGTAAAAGTTTGCTTTTATAAGTAGGAAGCAGAGGATGCTATAAAAAATAAAATGGTCTCCATATTTGCATGTTTTGCAGTTCTAGTGAAGCAGAGTGAGTACATGGCTGGAGTCATGACCAAGTGTGATAAATATCTGTGACCTTGGAGAGCACCACTCAGCATCCCAGTGTTTCATCTGTAAAATGGGAATGGATGATGGTGACAATACCTGCTCGTTGCCTGTCAGAGGCATGCAGTGTAACCCCTGATAGCACCTTGTAATGCTGACATGGCCTCTGCAGGCTGGAGATTGCATCATCCTCATCAGCTTCCATCTTTGTCTCAGGTGTCCTGTGAGGGGCTTGTAGTAATTCCTGGATATGATGGTTCCCTTTATCCATTTGTCTCTCTCCCATGATTTTGTATGGCTTGAAAGGACTCCAGAGAGTTAGAAATATAGTCTCCTTCATTTTATAGGACAAAATGGCAGCTTAGAGAGGACAGCCAGGTTGCCCATGGCCGTAGTAGCTCCTGTTAAGCCAGGACAGTTTTAATCTGCACAAATGGTACCCCTGGCCATTGTGACTGTGCACCCTCGGGAGGCTTCCCAGAGCCTTGGTGGTGTTCAGTGCAAGACCCTGTCCAGTCCAATCCTTCCTCCTGTCACTTCAGGGAGTTGCAGAAATTCATTAAGGCCCCAAGACTGTAGTCTTAGAACCCTGAGGGGCTTTTCTTCTCCTGGTACAGATCAGAGGCTTGCTTTTCCTCTCCTGAGCATTACTGTTTTATAGATGTAAATAAATCTCCATTTCTAATTACTTCCCAAATGGGCCCATGAGGAAATTGGACAAAAGCAAAGGACTTCCTACAGAACCTAGTCTTGGTTCTGTATAGGAAATGAGGGCATCCAAACCAATCTACAGACCAGCACTGTCCAACAGAAATAGGATGCTCGCCACACTAGTAATTTTAAACTGCCTAACAGCCACATTAAAATAAGTGCAAAGAAACAGCTACAGGCCAGGCATGGTGGCTCACACGTGTAATCCCAGCACTTTGGGAGAGCTGGGTGGATCACCTGAGGTCAGGAGTTCGAGACCAGCCTGGCCAACATAGTGAAACCCCATCTCTACTAAAAATACAAAAATTAGCTGGGTATGGTGGTGGGTGCCTGTAATCCCAGCTACTTGGGAGGCTGAGGCAGTAGAATCAGTTGAACCTGGGAGGTGGAGACATTCTTCAGATTTCTGTTAGTTTTTACAGCCAATTTTCATAATGCTATTACAATTAACATTTTTTTGCATGCTGAGTCATGTTATAAAAATATGTGAAATCATTGTTATCAATTTGTATTATGAAGTTGGAACATAAATTCTCATACCTGTCTGGCTAAATCACAAATAAGGTCTTCTTTCCCCTTCCTTGGAGTTTTAAATTTAGCTTGTTCATATGCAGTATGAATATAGATAAGAAGATGCAAATGACAGTATTTTTTTTTTTTTTTTTTTTTTTTTGGGGGAGTTTTTTTTTTTTTTCCTAGGCTGTAGTGCAGTGGTGCAATCTTGGCTCACTGCAACCTCCACTTCCCGGGTTCAAGCGATTCTCCTGCCTCAGCCTTTTGAGTAGCTAGGATTACAGGCATGAGCCAGCATGCCTGGCTAATTTTGTATTTTTATTAGAGACAGGGTTTCTCCATGTTGGTCAGGCTGGTCTCGAACTCCTGACCTAAGGTGATCCACTCACCTCAGCCTCCAAAAGTGCTAGGATTACAGGTGTGAGCTAACATTCTTTTTTTTTTGTGACAGAGTCTCGCTGTCTCCCAGGGTGCAGGGCAGTAGTATGATCTTGATTATTCAATAATAATCACAATTATTGAAATAATGAATTATTGAGTGAAAATAGTGATTTGACAAACATTCCTTTTATTTTCAAGAAAATCTGAATTGGAATTGCAAAGTAAATCTTTATTTAAAAAAAAAAACAAACCTGTCCCTCTCTCAGTGAGTGAACATTGGCAGAGAACACAGTATCATTAAATTCATTGTCTTCTGTTTCTACAACTGGAGAGTCATCATGTATATACAGAACCATTTCAACAACTGTATTCAGAAAACCTAACACAAGGCTGGGTGCCGGGGCTCATGTCTGTAATCCCAGCACTTTGGGATGCCATGGCAGGTGGATCATTTGAGGTCAGGACTTTGAGACCAGCCTGGCCAGCATGGCAAAGTCCCATCTCTACCATAAATACAAAAAATAAATTAGCTGGGCATGGTGGTGCACGCCTGTAGTCCCATCTACTTGGGAGGCTGAGGCATGAGAATCACTTGATCTCAGGAGGCAGAGTTTGCAGGGAGCTGAGATTGCACCACTGCACTCCAGCCTGGGTAACAGAGTTAGACCCTGCCTCAGAAAAACAAACAAACAAAAAGAAAACCTAACACAAATGTTTTCAATATGTATCACATAATGCAGTGAAGCAAAAGTTTCCAATATGTAGCATACAATAAAATGTAGTAGTAAAGGAAACATTAGTCTACCAAAATCTTAGTAAATCCATATTTTAATAAACCTATCTGAAGTCTTATCTGTCATGATAGAAAGTAATTTTTTGCATGTAGGTAAAATTCTTTGGCAGATGTAAAAGATTAAAAAATATCTATACTATGATATTTTTTAAGCTGCAATTTGCTGGCATTTTTTCATATATTTGGAAATTTTTTGAGGCAAAACACCCAAAGTATTAATTGGACAGTATCTCATGTCACACAGTTCACCTAAAGCTAAAGAAAAATACTTAATATTTTTTAAATTTTGAGTCAGTAGTTGATATTGTTAGAAAGGTTTTATAGTCTGTGGGCAATTGTGACTCAACTGAAGATTGTTCATTTTTATAAATTATATTTTTAAATCTTTTCCTTAGAATAGTTTTTTAGAACCACATTTGCATCTAAAATAGTTTTCTTTTTGTGTAAGTATCCAAGCCATATTGTAGTTGCCCAGAGTTATTAAACTCAGACCCTGTTAAACATTTGCTTAAAAATGTGTTGGGTATTGTGATTTCAGCCACTAATTTTATTAATTTTTTTTGAGTATTGAAAGAAAAATACTTATCAAGTTTATTATATATTTGCTAAAAATATCTCCCTTACACAATTGTTTTTTCCGTTTACTTTGACCATAGCCTATTGCAGTCACCACTTGGGAGTCTGTGGCATACTTCCTTTCAGATGGAGTCTCGCTCTGTCACCCAGGCTGGACTACAGTAGCATGATCTCAGCTCACTGCAGCCTCCACCTTCTGGGTTCAAACATTTCTCTGCCTTAGCCTCCCGAGTAGCTGGGATTGCAGGTGCCCACCACCACACCCAGATAAATTTTTTTGTGTGTGTATTTATAGTAGAGACAGGGCTTCACCATCTTGGCCAGGCTGGTCTTGAACTCCTGATTTAATGATCCACCTGTGCTGGCCTCCCAAAGTGCTGGGATTACAGGCGTGAGCCACCGCATGCAGCCTTTTTTTTTTTTTTTTTGTAAATCTGTTACTGTCCTTGTCATAGTAGTAGCTTCTGTGTTCCTGCTCAATTCCACATCAGTAGTATGCCTTTGTTTTAAATTTAAAATGTTGTCCAAATGTTTTTTTAACTAGAAAAAAATTCTGTTTCACCTTTGTTGCCAATTGTGGTATACATAGCTAACACTGTAACTCATGCTCTCTGCATAGTAAACATACCATAATGTTTCATCAGTGCACAGAAAGAAATCACTTGAACTGAATCAATCTATTGTCCTTCAATAGAATAGCGATGTGTTTGTGTGTGATACTAGAAATGACAAATGGCCCTGACGTGCATGTTGCAATACAACCACCAAGTGAAGTGTTACCCCACCACATCAATAAAGCTGTGATTCATGGAAAAATATTTTATAATGCATCCATTTTTAAATTAAAGGCAAATTAAACTTTAGGCCAGGCATAGTGCTCACACCTGTAATCTCAGCACTTTGGGAGGCCAAGGTCAGTGGATCATCTGAGATCAGGAGTTCGAGACCAGCTTGGTCAACATGGTGAAACCTATCTCTACTAAAAATACAAAAATTAGCTGGGCGTGGTGGTGGGCATCTGTAATCCAGCTACTTGGAAGACTGAGGTGGGAGAATCACTTGAACCCAGGAGGTGGAGGTTGCAGTGAGCTGAGATCATGCCACTACACTCCAGCCTGGGTGACACAGTGAGACTCCATCTCAAAAAAAAAAAAAAAAAGTTAAACTTTAAATTCAGTTCCTGAGCCACACTGACCACATTTCAAATGATCAGTAGCCACACGTGGCTGGCTAGTGGCCACTGGGTGGGACAATACAGGTACGGAGTTGAACTTGCAGTGAGTTAAGAATTTATTTTGTTCCTTCAAGTTCAAGTAGCTTTTCAGTTCTTCCCCTTACACTTTAAAATAGCTTTATTTTTAATCTCAATCTAAAACATCATTATTTCCACCATTTGCTCACAGACTGGGTTTTGTGGGCGAATCTTAATAAGGAAGTGGCATTAACAGTTCTGTTCTAAACAGAAGAGGGAGCACAGCTCATGGAAGGCCAGCGCATGTCTGTGGGCAGGTTCCTCCCTGGCTCTGATTCCTGGGGAGTAAGAGCAGGTTTCCATTTAAGACTGGGGGTTTTGGAGTAGCTTGAGCTGTTAAAAAAAGAAAAAAGACTTGGGATTTCGGGGCTTGCATCTCGGCTGGTCCTCACTACCTTTATGATCTTAGGAAGTTCACTTCTCTGTGACCCAGTGCCTAATTTGTGAAATGTAATGTCAGTGCCTCTAGCTTCAGGGGTCTGATTGCAGAGTAGATGCTGTGGGAAGCCCCTGTGTGCTAAGCGCCTTGCCTGACTTTATCTTCTGTGGTGTTATGGTATTTGGGGAGCAGGAGGTATATTTCACTGTGACCACTGGTATTCTGTGTCCCATTAGAAAGATACCTTTTTTATTCTGTCACCGAAGCCAGCCTATGCTAAAAGGAAGAAAAGAAGAGCTTTAAAAAGTCTTTAGATAATTCAGATTCCTACATAAGCTTCTCTCTCCCATAGGGAGTTGGGCCAGGATAGTCTTTTTGCTACTTAAATTTTCCTCTCTTCCCTATTTCATTTTTTAGTATGGGTCTGGCTCAACAACCTATTTGTTGAAAAGGTGTTGGCACAGAATTATGTCCAGTTAAGTTTCCTTAGAGATGCATTTTAAAAAGAGAAAAAGTGTTGGACATGCCTTTTGAATTAACTGGGGTATGCCTTTAAAGTTGCATCTAACAGCTATGTGCTGCCCAATAATACATTTGGGCTTTGTCCAGAGAGACCAAGAGCAAACAGAGGTGTTAGGAGATTGGGTCATGCTTTGCCTCCCTGAAAATCTCTGGGGGAAAGCAGTGGGCTTTCTGAAGGGAGTGATGAAGTGCACTAAGAAGGGAGGCTGACCTTCTTATGTCATCTGCCAGGCTAATCAAGACAAGCCCAGAGCTGGCTGAGTCCTGCACATGGTTCCCTGAGTCCTATGTGATTTATCCAACCAATCTCAAGACCCCAGTTGCTCCAGCACAAAATGGAATTCAGCCACCGATCAATAACTCAAGGACAGATGAAAGAGAATTCTTCCTCGCTTCTTATAACAGAAAGAAAGAGGATGGGGAGGGCAACGTTTGGATTGCAAAGTCATCAGCTGGTGCCAAAGGTGAGTTGACACTGCTGTCCCCTTCTCTACTCCTGGTAAGTTCCTATTGTGATGTATTTAGATGAATGACCCTATTCTAATCTGAATCATCGAAGATAGAGACCACGTCTAGTTGCATAGTTATAAACGCCCAGCTGTGTACCGATGCCTTCTAAACGTGTATCTCCAGTATAGGTCTTTTCCTTTAAGCTCTAGATGCATTGACACCCTCACCATCTCTAAAAGGCATTTGCAACTGAATACATCTGATACAGAACTTTTTATTTCCTTCCCAACTTTGCCCACGCCAGCCTGCTCCTCCTTCACACTTTCCACTTAGTATATGATCCCACTATTCACTCAGTCTCTGAAGCTTAAAACCTAGGATTCATCCTTGACTACTCTACTCTTTACTATGTACTCCTAATGCATTAGCAATTCTTGCTAGCTCTACCTTCAAAGTACATTCTGAATAGACTATTTCTTGCTATTTCCACTGCTCCCTATCTAAATCAAAGCCCCCATTCTGTTTAGTGTGTGTAACTGCAGAGCCTGCTCTCAGTCAGTTCTCCTTCCAGACAATGTTTTAAAAACATAAATCGAATCATGTTACTTCCTAGTTGAGACTTACCAGCTGGCTTCCTAATGCAATTAGAATGAACTCCAGATTCCTAAAGTCAGCCGGCACCATTTGACATTTGCCCATGTTTCCGATCTCATCTCCTTCTATCCTCAGCTTTGCTCTCTGCACCGTAGACTGCCTAGTATCTCTCAAATACTCCAGACTTGTCTCTGTACCTAGAATGAGCTTACATGGATTGTTTTCTGTTTCTCTCAGCTCAGATGTTGGCTCCTCAGGGAAGGCTCTTCTAATCTAAAATAGCCTCTGTTTCCATTGTTTTCTTTCCCTTTTCCCTGCTTCATTTACCTCCTGGCATTAACATCTTCCTAGCGCTATACTACTTACCTGTCCATCTCTCACGTTATACTGTAGGCTTCACACAAACGCAGACTTTCTGTCTTATTCATCCTTGTACGTTCCTCATAGGCACTCAACAAATATATGTTGAACAAATGTGTAGAAGGGGTGAGGTTTGTAATACTAACTCAGGCTGAAAATAGAAGCAGTTCATTAACTCAGTTTATGTGTAATGAACACATAAACGGTCTCGGTCTATGACTGCCCTCCTATGCTCTTTATAAAACCATTCCCTTTTGAACTCACTTCTTGTATTGCCTTGGAAGACATCTGGCCATTGGTACTCCTTTCTATTCCAAGTCAAAGGGACATCACCTTCTTTTCCACCAACCATAAGACAGGAGGCCTCACCTGGTATCCCTGAAAGGGGGAAAGTTGGACTCTTGCCACAAGCCAAGCACTTCACCTACTTTTCTCTCCCTTCTTGTGACCTTTTCTCAAGTACTGCCCCCCAGTGTGGTTCCAATGGTAAATGGCAGAATTGGAGGAGGAAATACATGTCATGGTACTCCAGAATCCTGTAGGTTTGCGATTGGAGTCAGAATGGCCATTCTGAGGACACCTGGGTGATCCCTGGACCCTCACCAGGATAAGACTCAGAGGGACACCAAGCAGCAGGAGGAAGTCAAGAGAATAAAATGCCAAACAAAGACTTTTTGCTTTAGGAGTTGAGGAGATAAGTTTTTGTTTTCTTATTTTGTAGGTATTATGTTTGGGAACTATAAAATGAAACCAATAGGATGAATGAATGGCTTTTATTCTTGTTAAACAAGTGTTTATTTGGTACCTACTACATGCTTTGAATAGTTGGCTCAACCTTCAAGCTCTATCCATTATGAAGCCACTGTTCAGCATGTCAACTACCCATCGTCTCTAAACTGAGCCACCTTTACCTCTCACCTGGGTGGAGCACAGGAACACACTACATCTGTAATAGCAAATTATTGTTTAGAAACAACCCCATTGTCCCACTGCTATTACAGATATCAGTAGTAAATGTTTTTGCTCTAAATCATGCTTGTTTCTTTTTCAATTTTAATTTTTATTGTGTGTGTGTGTGTGTGTGTGTGTGTGTGTGTGTGTGTGTGTTATTTTTTTTTTTTTTTTTCTGAACAATGTCTTGCTTTGTTGCCCAGGCTGGATTGCAGTGGCATGATCTCAGTTCACTACAGCTTCGACTTCCCCGGCTCAAGCAATCCTCCTACGTCACCCTCTTGAGTAGCTGGAACTACAGCCATGCACCACCACACCCTGTTAATTTTTTGATTTTTAGTAGAGATGAGGTCTCACTATGTTACGCAGGCTGGCCTTGAACTCCTGAGCTCAAGTGATCTTCCTACCTCTGCATCCCGAAGTGCTGGGATTACAGGCATGAGCCATCACACCTGGCCTCAACTGTTCCTTCTTCTTAAATCTTTCTTTAGAGTAAGTTTGAAAAATGAGATGACTTGCCCAAATGACATGAAGCCTTGATGGCTTTTGCTCTGTGCTATCCTATTGCTTTTTCAAAGGCCTGTGAGCTAACAGAGCAGTTCATGACAAACTTTCACTAATAGTGTCATCATTTTTGTTTTCTCATTTTGTAGGTATAAAATGATACATAAAATTTAAATTGATTTTATAATTTTGGATACTGGTATATCAAAAAATCTAAGTATGATTCCTGAGGGAGATGAAATAGCATGAGTCATGTGTGTAGGAAAAGAGAGGAAGGGAGCTTTTCCAGGTTGATTTGCAGTTCTTGTTCAAGAAGCTGATCAGATGGTAGAACAAGTGACAGGAACAGGGTAGTTGAGAAGGGGGTTAACTTTTGGGAAAGATAGATCATTGAATTAATGAACTGAATTAAATTCATTTACACTGAAAGCATGAGACCCAGGTAGAAATCAGCTATAAATCAGAAGGTTCTAGCAACTTAAAACCACAATGAGCTGTCACTACACTTTTATTAAAATGGCTAAAATAAGAAATGGTGACAACTCACTGAAGAGTGAGTTCAGCAATGTTGCAGGATATGAGAGCAACACACAAAACTTAATATATCAACAATGAACATGTGGAAACAAAGTTAAAAACATAGTACTACTTAACTGGGTGCGGTGGCTCATGCCTGTAGTCCCAACACTTTGAGAGGCAGAGGCGGGTGAATCACCTGGGGTCAGGAGTTTGAGACCAGTCTGGCCAACTTGGTGAAACCGTGTCTCTATAAAAAATACACATATTAGCCAGGCTTGGTGGCAAGAGCCTGTCATCGCAATTACTCAAGAGGCTGAGGCAGGAGAATCACTTGAACCCAGGAGGCAGAGCTTGCAGTGAGCTGAGATTGCACCATTGTACTCCAGCCTGGGCAACAGAGCAAAAACTGTATCTCAGTGAAAACCAAAACCAAAGCCACAATACTGCTTACAGTAACCCCAGAGAAAATGTGATGCTATATATAAATTTAACAAGACATGTACAGGCGCTGTACGCTAATTGCAAAATGATTATGAAGGAAGTCAAAGAGAACCTAAAGAAATGGACAGACATACTGTGTTCATGGATTGCAGGATAGTAAAGATGTCAGTTTACCCCAAACTGGCCTATAGATTTTCTCATGAAAATCTCAGCAAGATTTTTGTGTAGACATGGAGCTGCTTCTAAAATTCACATGGAGGCCAGTCACAGTGGCTCATGCCTGTAATCCCAGCACTTTGAGAGGCTAAGGTGGGTAGATCACCAGAGGTCAGATTGAGACCACCCTGGCCAACATGGTGAAACCCATCTCTACTAAAAATACAAAAATTAGCCAGGCATGGTGGCTGGTGTCTGTAAACCCAGCTATTCGGGAAGCCGAGACAGGAGAATCTCTTAGGTCCAGCCTGTGCAACAAGAGCAAGACTCTATCTCAATAAATAAATTAATTAATTAAATAAAAGTAAAATAAAATAAAAATTCACGTGGAAAGGCACAAGCCCTAGAATTGCTTAAACATCTTGAAAAAGAATAAAGTATAAATAAACATGCTACTTGATATTAAGACATATTTTAGAGCTATAGTACTCAATACACTGTAGTATTGATGGAAAAATAGAAACATAAATTAGTGGGGCCAGATGCAGTGGCTAACTGCTGCAATCCCAGCACTTTAGGAAGCCAAGGCAGGCAGATCACCTGAGGTCAGGAATTTGAGACAAGCCTGGCCAACATGGTGAAACCTCATCTCTACTAAAAATACAAAAAATTAGCCAGGTGTGGTGGCACATTCCTGTACTCAGCTACTCAGGAGGCTGAGGCATGAGAACCCAGGGGCAGAGTTGCAGTGAGCCAAGATCATGCCACTGTGCAACACAGCAAGGCTCTGTCTAAAAAAATATATATATAATATATATGTTATATGTATATATTATATAATATATATGTTATATATATAATGTAGAATATATATTATAAATATATATTATATATATAATATATATGTGTATATATAAATCAGTGGAAGAAAATAGAGAACTCAAAAATAGACCAAAACATATACGCCCATCATTTTTTTTAAAAAGGTGCAACAGCCATTCAATAGAGAAAGGATAAGCTTTTCAACAGATTGTACTAGATAAGGTGGATATCAACAGGCAGAAAAACAAACATCAACATAAGCCTCATATCTTATACAAAACTAACTAAAAATAGATCGTGGACTTAATAATTTTTCAGAAAAAAGGAAATAGGGCTTAGCAAAGAGTTCTTGAACTTGACTCCAAAAGTATAATTAATAAAAGTAAAAATTGATAAATTGAACCTCATCAAAATAAAACTTTTGTTCTTTGAAACACCTCATTAGGGATAAAAAGATGAGCTACAAACTGGGAGAAAGGATTTTTAAGTCATATATGACAAGGGACTCAGATCTAGAATATAGAAACAACTTTTAAAACTTAACGGTAAACAACAACAGACACACAATCCAATTAGAAAAAGAGCAAACAGTAAGATCCCATTTCTACAAAAAAATATAGAAATTAGTCGATGCGGTGGCATACACCTGTAGTCCCAGCTTCTCAGGAGGCTAAGGCGGGAGGATCACTTGAGCCTGGGAGGTTGAGGCTGCAGTGAGCCAAGATCATGCTACTGCACTCCATGTGGACAATAGAGCAAGATCTCGTCTCAAAAAAAAAAAAGGCAGAAGACATGATCATGCATTTTGTCAAAGAGGCTACATAGAATAAGATAAGCAAATGAAAAGATTTTCCATATCATTAACCATTACACAAATGCAAATTGAAAACACAACAAGCCTTCGCTGCACTTTCATTAAAATGGTTAAAATCAGAAATGGTAACAACAGCTAATGCTGGGAAGGATAAATCAGATCACTAATACAATGCTAATGGAAATGTAAAATGGTACAGCCACTCTGGAAAAAGTTTGGCATTGTTTTATAAAACGAAATGTGTAACTACCATGCAACCCAGCAATTTTACACTCTTGGGCATTTGTCCCAGAGAGATGAAAACTTACATCCACACAAAAACCTGTACACGATTATTCATAGCAGCTTTATTTATAATAGCCCCAAACTGGAAACAACCCAGATATCCTTCAATGAGTTAGTGATTGAACAAACTGTGGTGAATTTATGCCATGTGCATATGCATCAAAAAGGTATGAACTACTGATTTAAAAAAAAGCTGTAGTAATGGTTGTAAAACTCTTGAATATACTAAAAACCATTGAATTGTGCACTTTCAAAGGATGAATTTTATGGTATATGAATTATACTTCAAGCTATTAAAAGGGATATATTGATGATTTTATGTTAATGGACAATTCCAACATATCCAGTTTCTTCTGTTACAATGCTGCAAGGAACATACTTGAACATTGATCTTTATGCCTTAACCTTCCTGGTATTTCTACAAGATATAGTGAAGGAAGAGGATTTATGGTAGTAGTCTTTATTGTGGTAGCCAGTGACCAGTTATGCAGTGGTGTTTATTTTGAGTGCTTAGACACTTTGAATTTCTATAAAACTGAGATTTCATGGTTGTAGCCAGCCAAGACAGCATTGACAGTCCCATGTGGAAAAAGAGTTGGAAGGATGATCCTGGGTGCTCTTGAGGAGAGAAGGGAGCGTGGGAGAGACTTGAGTAAGGAAGGGCGGGAAAAAGGTGAGCAGGACAATGAAAGCCTCCTGTGAGGTTTTTGCTGTTCATATTTCCTTTCTGCCTTTATAGAAAGCTCTTGATTTGAATTGGACTGGTTTCTCTTTTGCTTTTTCCCTGTTAGGTGAAGGCATTCTCATCTCCTCAGAGGCTTCAGAGCTTCTCGATTTTATAGACAACCAGGGCCAAGTGCACGTAATCCAGAAGTATCTTGAGCACCCTCTGCTGCTTGAGCCAGGTCATCGCAAGTTTGACATTCGGTAATGCATTCATGTCTGTAGCTTTGTTTTTATTCATCTGAAAAAAATGCCATGGTATATGGTGGGGAGGGGGACATGGAATATGGGAAAGTGTTTGACCATGTTTAATATGTTACCAAAATTGAGCATAGCTGAATGGAACTGAGCTTCTGTACCTAATTTTCTATTTTTCTTTCAATACTTTTTTCTGTCTAAAAAAGATTACTAAGATTATAGATTTTCTTTTTTAAAAAATACTCTCCTCTTACCAGGTACAGTGGCTCATGCCTTTAATCCCAGCACTTTGGGAGGCCAAGACTGGTGGATTACCTGAGGTCAGGAGTTTGAGACCAGCCTGGCCAACATGGCAAAACCCCATCTCTAGTAAAAATACAAAAATTAGCTGGGCATGGCAGCAGACACCTATAATCCCAGCTAGTCAGGAGGCTGAGGAAGGAGAATCACTTGAACCTGGGAGGGAAGGTTGCAGTGAGCCGAGATTGTGCCGTTGAACTCCAGCCTGGGCCACAGAGCAAGACTCCGCTCTCTCCCCGCCGCCCCCCCCCCACCACCACCCCAAAATCCTCTTCTATGAAAATGACTTGTGGATCCAAACAAATGAGTATAAATGTATGCTTATGGAATAAGCTGAGAGATGTCCATGGATCACATATTTCAGGCGCAACAGGTTATGCAACCTTGCCAAATAATTTCTCCTCACTTCATTATTTGTGTCCCCTCTTTATAGGTTTTATGACCATACCTCAGGGGATTTTAAATTTCTGAGGAAAGGGCTTGGCCTGGAGAAAGAGGTTGTGTGGTGCATTCTGAAGCTAAATGGCCCTCCCTCTCCAGCGTACCTTTGACCTTGCTATCAGCTCCTTGTCAAGGACTCAGTCTCCTTGATTGCTTCATGATGATTTGTCGCTTCTTGAACATAAGCCCTATGTCACATCATCTTCAGGAGGAACACTCTTAAGATTACTACAAGAGCAGACATGACTAATGGAGGTTTCATAGGTTAACCTTAAAAACCAGCCCATCCATGGTGGCACGTGCCTGTAATCCCAGCTACTCAGGAGGCTGAGGCAGGAGAATTGCCTGAACCTAGGAGGCGGAGGTTGCGGTGAGCCGAGATTGCACCATTGCACTCCAGCCTGGGTAACAAGAGCGAAACTCCGTCTCAAAAAAAAAAAAAACCCAGCCCATCTAGGGTGAGGTATGGTGGCTTACACCTGTAATCCCAGCACTTTGTGAGGCCAAGGCAGGTGGATCACCTGATGTCAGGAGTTTGAGACCAGTCTGGCTAACTTGGTGAAACCCTGTCTCTACAAAAAAAAAATATAAAAATCAGCCGAGCACAGTAGCATGAACCTGTAATCCCAGCTACTCAGGAGGCTGAGGCAGGAGAATTGCTTGAACCCAGGAGGCAGAGGTTGCAGTCAGCCAAGATTGCATCATTGCACTCCAGCCTGGGCAACAAGAGCGAAACTCCGTCTCAAAAAAAAAAAAAAAAAAAAAAAATCTGGATCTCTTCAAAATGCTTTGTCTTTTGATTAGTCTCCTTGTTATTTATGGTAAAATGGTTTGTCTCATTGTAGTGATAACTGACTATCTTAGCTAAATCATAGTGTGCATCTTACAGTTTTAGAAACTTCCTCCTTCCCTAGTTGCCTCCCACTCCTCACCTACCCCCTGAAAGAAGTCCAGATGTGGGGATTGATGTATCTAATGTGCAGAAACTTTGGATGGCTTGAGTAAAAAGCAGTGTTTTTGTTGAATTGCAGAAGCTGGGTCTTGGTGGATCATCAGTATAATATCTACCTCTATAGAGAGGGTGTGCTTCGGACTGCTTCAGAACCGTATCATGTTGATAATTTCCAAGACAAAACCTGCCATTTGACCAATCACTGCATTCAAAAAGAGTACTCAAAGAACTATGGGAAGTATGAAGAAGGAAATGAAATGTTCTTCAAGGAGTTCAATCAGTACCTAACAAGTGCTTTGAACATTACCCTAGAAAGTACCATCTTACTACAAATCAAACATATAATAAGGTAACTTAATTGTATCTTTTTTTTTGAGTGGGGGTTACGTGTTTCTTCTTGAAGGAGCTTTGGGTGCCTCTGACTTTCAGAGAATTGTTTGATATAAATTATCTAATTTATGGGCAAAAATTTTTTGTAATTTTTAAAAATTTTCCTTTTAATGTCTGTAGGTTCTATAATGTCTCCTCTTTCATTTCTCATCATAATGATTTATATTTTCTTTCTCTTTTGCTTGGACAGAATATCAATTTTTTTCAATCTTTTCAAAAATTAGCTTTTGGTTTTATTGGTTTTCTTTATTTTTCTTTTTGGCTTTTTTGATTTATGCACTTTATTATTTTCTTCCTTTTGGTTTTTGGAGGATATAATTTACTCTTAATTTTCTAGTGGTGGTTTTTGTTTGTTTGTTTTTTAAGAGATGGTGTCTTATTTTATTGGCCAGGTTGGAGTACAGTGGTGTGTTCATAGTTCACTGCTGCCTCAAACTTTTAGGCTTAAGGGAATCTTCCTGTTTCAGCCTCCCAAGTAGCTGGAACTACAGGTGTGTACCACTGTGCCTGGCTAATCTTTTTGTTTTTTGTAGAGTTGGATCTCACTGTCTTGCCCAGGCCGATCTCGAGCTCCTGGGCTCAAGCCAGTCCTCCCACCCTGGTCTCCCAGAGTGCTGGAATTCTAGGTGCGATTATAAGTGTGAGCCACCATGCCCAGCCTATTCCAGTTTTTAAGGTGGAAGATTAAATAATTGATTTGAGATATTTCTTTTTTTTTAAAAAAAAATAAGCAAGTCTCAGTTTCCCTCTAAATATTGTATCGGCTGAATCCCACAGATTTTGCTATTAACATAATTTTCATTTCCATTTTATTAAAATATTTTCTAATTTCCCTTATGATTTTGTCTTTAATTCATATAATTAAAAAATTTTTGTTTAATATCCAAATATTACGTCAGGAAGATACTTTGTTTGGTTTCATCTTTAAAAGTTGCCAAGGTTTGTTCCATAGCCCAGAATGTGGTCTTTTAGTAATGTTCCCTGTGCACTAAAGAATGTGTATTTGGCTGTCGTTGGGCAGAATGTTCTTTTTTACTTTTATTTTTTATTTTGAGGCAAGGCCTTACTTTGTTTCCCAGGCTGGAATGCAGTGGCACAAACATGGTTTGCCGCAGCCTTAACCACCTGGGCTCAAGCGATCCTCCTGCGTCAGCCCTCTAAGTAGCTGGGACTACAGATGTATGCCACCATACCCACCTAATTTTTGTACATTTTTTGTAGAGACAGGGTTTTGCCATGTTGCCCAAGCTGGTCTTGAACTCCTGGGCTCAGGCAATTCTCCCATCTTGGCCTCCCAAAGCGCTAGGATTACAAACATGAGCCACTGCACCTGGCCTTGTTCTGCTTATTACTTTCTTAGCCAAAAGGCTGAGAAGCGATGCTTGTTCTGTTTATTATTGAAAAGAGAGGCATTGAAGTCTCCCTTAGGTAATTGTGGATTTGTGTGTGTCTTCTTTCAGTTTTACCTGTTTTTGCTTCATGTCTTGATGATCTTTTGTTAGATGCATTTATGTTTAGGATTGTTATCTCTTCTTTGGGAATTGACCCTTTTATCATTATGTAATTTGTCTTTATCTCTGGTAGTATTTCTTTTCTTTGTCTTTTTTTTTTTTTTTTTTTTTTTGAGATGGTCTGGCTCTGTTGCCCAGGCTGGAGTACAGTGGCATGATCTTGGCAAACTGCAACCTCTGCCTCCCAGGCTCAAGCCATCCTCCCACCTCAGCCTCCTGAGCTACTGGGACTGCAGGCACAGGCTATCATGCCCAGCTAATTTTTGTATTTTTTTGTAGAGACAGGGTTTCCCCATTTTGCTGGTCTTGAACTCCTGGGTTCAAGCAATCTACGCACCTCAGCCTCCCAAAGTGCTAGGCCTGAGCCACCATGCCCAGCCAGTATTTCTTATTTATTTATCTGATTTTTATATAACCAATCTGGCTTTCTTTTGATTAACGTTTCAATTTTTCAGCTGGGTATTTGGCTCCCTGTCTTTTTTTTTCTTTTCTTTTTTTTTAGTGCTTGCTCTAGGCATTACAATATACATATATCAATTATTTCACAGCTTTCTTAGAGTTAGTAATTTACCATTTAAAATAAAATGCAAAAACCTATAGCACGTTCACCAAATCTTCCCCTCTATGTTATATGTATATATCTACACATTGACATCATTACCACATAATCATATAATTTTTTGTTATCAAATATATATATATATATATATATATATATATATATATATATTTGCACAGGTATGATAGATTATCAGGTTGGATTCTTTTTAAACTATAAAACCAAACTCTATACTGTCTATAAGAAGCCCACTTTATAAAAGGAGAAAAATATTCTTTGATATTTACCCAGCTACTACTTTTGTTCTTCCTTCAGTTCTGAAGTTCTGAGTTTCTCTCTGGTATCATTTCCCTTCAAACTTAAGCATTTCTTTTAGAGCTTTTATATTTACCCATATACTTCCTTAAATTTTAAAGTTCTGAGTCTCTCTGTTAAGCCTTTCTTTTAAAACAGCTTTACTGCTGATAAATCTTCTTAATTTTCTCTCATCTGAGAGTATGTTTATTTTACCATCTTCTTGAAGGGTATTTCACTGGATTGATACAAATCTGTGGCATTGTGTATCATTTCATCTCTCCATGGTTGTACTCATTCTTTTCTTCTGATATCTTTGTTAATCCTTTCTTCATCTATTAAAACCTATTAGACATTTTTATTTATTTTTATTTTATTTTATTTTTTTTGGCAGATAGATAGCATCTATTAGACATTTTTAAAAGGTAAAAGCTTTTAAGCTGCTGTTAAACTCACCTATTGAGTTCTTGATTTTAGTTAGCATGCTTTTTAGTTCTGAAACCTCCATTTGTTTCTTTTTTTCTTTTTTTTTTTTAACTTAGCATTCTTGGAGTATATCTTTTTTTCATATTATAGTTGTCTTATGAAATTCTCCCACTTGCCTCATATTTTCTTGAACATGATGGCAGTTCTTTAACATCCGTATCTGATAACTCCAAAATCTGGATTACAAATGGCAGAGTAACTGCTATTGTAGAAATCTATTTCCAGAGCACATGTCCTTAAAAAACAAAGACAATATATATATATTTTTGAGACAAAGTCTCCCTCTATCACCCAGGCCAGAGTGCAGTGGCACGATCTCAGCTCACTGCAACCTCCGCCTCCCCAAGTTCTACTTGAGAGGCTGAGGCAGGAGAATTGCTTGAACCCAGGAGGTAGAGGTTGCAGTGAACCGAGATCACATCACTACACTCCAGCCTGGGCAAAAGAGCAAGACTCCATCTTGGAAATCAGTCAGTCAGTCAATCAGTCAATCAGTCATGTGGCCCTTTATGTGAGGGTCTGTTCCTAGGATCTCCAGTCTGTCCCATTGTTCTATCATCCACCATGTCAATGCTATCCTGTCACAATGAGTGAGACTTTTTCCTTGCTATATTCTCACGAAGAGCCAAGCAGAATAACTACAGGGCTTGGAGTCCCATTTCTGCAGGAAGTATAGGTGGTTGGAATTCTGACACCAGATAAACCAAGTTTGCTGGAAAAAGAATTCCTATTTTAGGCAAAAGCTTCATTGGAAGTTTGCGGCACCCCCTCCACATTGTTCAGTGCTGTTCAGAGTGTTGCTGCTGTGGTGCTATAAATGCTCCTGGCAGCTCTCAGGTTTTCTTTCTTTCCAGCTAGCCTCCTCCTAACTTCCCACTCCAGCCAAAAAAAAGATGGTACTGTATAAAGTCTCTGATGATAGATAAAAATCCTTTAAAGTGAATTATTAATCTTGAGCTTTCAGCAAATAAAAAAATTAAGTTTTGATTTGGTTCTGATTCTCAGTTTTCCTTTATATGTTGGAATGTAATGCTTCTTTCAATTTTATTTTATTTTGTTTTGTTTTTTTGAGACAGAGTCGTGCTGAAATGCAGTGATGTGATCTCAGATCACTGCAACCTTCACCTTCCAGGTTCGAGTGATTCTCCTGCCTCAGCCTCTTGACTAGCTGGGCCTACAGGCATGTGCCACCATGCCCCACTAATTTTTTGCATTTTTAGTAGAGATGGGGTTTCACCATGTTGGCCAGGCTGGTTTTGAACCCATGACCTCAAGTGATTTGCCCCCCTCAGCCTCCCAAAGTGCTAGGATTACAGGCATGAGCCACCACACCCAGCCTCAATTTTATATTTTAGTTTTTTTTTTCTTCTCTCTCTTTTTTACCATGAGCATCTGTTTAACTTTTTAATCTTCCTTAATTATAATATTTTAAAGAATATTTTAATTAAAACAGGCTGAGTGTAGCATCTCGTGCCTGTAATCCCAGCACTTTGGCAGGCTGAGGCAGGTGGATCACTTGAGCCCAGGAGTTCAAGACCAGCCTGCGCAATATGACGAAACTCTGTCTCTACAATGTACAAAAAAAATTACCCGGGTGTGGTGGTGCATGCCTATAGTCCCAGCTATTCAGTAGGCCAAGACCAGAGGATCACTTGAGCTCGAGGTGGTCAAGGCTGATTGCAGTGAGCCATGAGTGGGCCACTGCACTTCAGCCTGGGCAACAGAGTGACAGGGTCCTGCTTGTTTTTGGAGATAGGGTCTTGCTCTGTTTCCCAGGCTGGAGTGCAATGGTGTGATCTCTGCTCAGTGCAACCTCCACTGCCAGGTTCAAGCGATTCTCCTGCTTCAGCCTCCTGAGTTGCTGGGATTACAGGCATGTGCCACCATGCCCAACTAATTTTTTTAAGTGGAGAGTCAGGGTTTCACCATGTTGTCCAGGCTGGTCTCAAACTCCTGACCTCAAGTGATCCACCTGCCTCGGCCTCCCAAATGTGCTGAGACTGCACGTGTGAGCCACCTCTCCTAGGCAAGAACATTTTAATAAAAGCAAAAGTTAAGGATATTCTTGTGTAGAACAGAGATTTTTTTTTTTTTTATGTGATGTGTTCTTGTCGATGCACGTTGAATATGAATGGGAGAAGAAATTTTTTTTTTTTGAGACGGGGTCTCACTATACTGCCCAGGCTGGCGTGTAGTGGCTATTCACAGGTGCGACGTCACTACTGATCAGCACGGATTCACCAAGTTCGCAGTGCCAAACTTAGTGCAGACACCCGATCGGCATAATGCACTACAGCCCAGAACTCCTGGGCTCAAGCGATCCTCCCACCTCAGCCTCCCAAGTAGTTGGGACTACAGGCATATGACCGGCAAGAGAAGAATTTTTATTATAATTAGTTTTTAAATGGCTTATCTTAAAAGAAACATTTAAACCAAAATAGTTTTTAAAGGTTTAAACGTATCTGTTAAAATATTTTTCTTTTTAGGAAAAAAGAAAAGGAGATTGAAGTTTGTGGGGGGCTGAGGGAGGATTGACCTTGGCTCCAAGTTCACAAAGGCCTCAGTTCTTTATTAAGGTCAGGAGTCAAAACCTACATCTAGAGCTACATCTTAGCATCTTAGAATTAGTCACATGTATGCCAGTTCCCTGTGTCTTTGTCTTTGGCTGTTTTTGTTTTTTTGTTTTGTTTTGTTTTGTTTTATTTTGAGACAGAGTTTTGCTCTTTTGCCCAGGCCAGAGTGAAGTGGCCCAATCTCGCCTCACTGCAGCTGCAACCTCCGCCCCCTGTATTCAAGTGGTTCTCCTGCCTCAGCCTCCTGAGTAGCTGGCATTATAGGTGCCCGCCACCACGCCTGGCTAATTTTTGTGTTTTTAGTAAAGACAGAGTTTCACCATGTTGGCCAGGCTGCTCTCTAACTCCTGACCTCAGGTGATCCACCCACCTTGGCCTCCCAAAGAACTATGATTATAGGCATGAGCCACTGTTCCCAGTCGGCCCCTGTATCTTTTTCCTTCCAAATATACAGCTGTGTAGGACAGTTATCTCTGGTAACCCTAGAGTCATTGTAGCACATTTTATTTACTGAGATGAATGTTTTGCCTCAGGATTCAGTTGGGTGAAAAATCAGGGAAGATCTTTATAAAACAGAAATGGCATAGGTTTTCTGTAATGGTTGTAGATAAGAGGTATTTATTTCTAAATAATAGACGTATGGTTATCATAATGAAATATACTTGTTCATAAGAGTAACATTTATTAAATGCTTTTTAGGTTCCAAGAGTTAGGACAAGTTCCTTATGTAATTATCTCATTGAACAATCACTTGTCTAAGATTTTGGGCTGACCTGAGACCTTATGTACTTGTTCACTATATTTCTGAGATTCACTTTCAACTTTTTTCTGTGTCACTAAAATCCCGCCATTTTTCCATTCATTGGTGCTAATAATACTTCTACATTTCAACATTTAGTTTCAACATGTATAGCTCTTAAATCTTTTAATCAGCAATAATTAGGCATTAGAACTGGAACTGGTGAAATGATGATGTCAGCTAATTTATTTTCATTTTTTTTTTTTTTGCAAATCCTGTCCTTCACCAAATGGCAGTCCATTCTTTACATGGCAAAGATACATGGAAATGTTTTATGTGTTATAAACAAACATGGCAGCAGCCCAGCTGTTGGAGGAATCTTCATTTATAGAGACCATGGTGACTCGGCACTCTCCTGCTTCTTGAGACATAGGAAAGCAGCTTTTGCCTGAAGAACATGAGTGGCTGCAGAGTTTTCTAACAAATGCTTGTTGAGTAACCTTCTCTTGAATAACCTGTTGGTAGTAAGTTGAAAAGAGAGAAGTCAAAGCTGATTATTGTATTCATCTCATGTAAAATGTGTCAAGCTCACCTCATGTCTTCCTTTTTTGGCCACCCTGTTCTAATGAGCATTCCCCCCCCTCCAACCTCACAGGAACTGCCTCCTGAGCGTGGAACCTGCCATTAGCACCAAGCACCTCCCTTACCAGAGCTTCCAGCTCTTCGGCTTTGACTTCATGGTGGATGAGGAGCTGAAGGTGTGGCTTATTGAAGTCAACGGTGCCCCTGCATGTGCTCAGTAAGTCTGCACGTCATTGTGTTTTCACAAGTGGGAAGTTGGTTCTGCAGTTGGGATAGTCTGTGGGTACAAGTGTAGATGCTTTGCCTGCTGTGAGGGAGGATGCCGCAGTGATAGGAGACCCTTGTTGAGGACTCTGTCTGGCAGGGGGCTTTGCTGAGTCCATTTCCTTTCCCATTTTTCCATGTATTGTCAGCAGATAGGATAGTGCAATGGCTCATGCCTGTAATCCCAGCACTTTGGAAGGTCAAGGCAGGTAGACTATCTGAGCCCAGGAGTTCAAGACCAGCCTGGTCAACAGGGCAAAACCCCATCTCTACAAAAAAATACAAATTAGGCCGGACGCGGTGGCTCAAGCCTGTAATCCCAGCACTTTGGGAGGCTGAGGCGGGTGGATCACGAGGTCAAGAGATCGAGATCATCCTTGTCAACATGGTGAAACCCCGTCTCTACTAAAAATACAAAAAATTAGCTGGGCATGGTGGTGCGTGCCTGTAATCCCAGCTACTCAGGAGGCTGAGGCAGGAGAATTGCCTGAACCCAGGAGGCGGAGGTTGCGGTGAGCCGAGATCGCGCCATTGCACTCCAGCCTGGGTAACATGAGTGAAGCTCCATCTCAAAAAAAAAAAAAAAAAAAAATACAAATTAGTTAGACATGGTGGTGTGTGCCTATAGTCCCAGCTGCTCCGGAGGCTGAGGTGGGAGAATCACTTGAGCCTGGGAGGTCAAGGCTGCAAGGAGCCATGATCACGACACTGCACTGCAGCCTGGGCAACAGGGCAAGACCCTGTCTCAAAAGAAAACAGTAAGTAAGCAGGTAGCCTGTGCTCAGGTGGGTGGGAGATACGATGAGAGTGTTAAAGCTCATTACTGCCGAGAGACCCATGTGACAAGCGGAGTCAGCAGGATCCTATGATGTGGCGACCCAGAAGTTAAGCGGCTCCTGAGGCAGGAAGGAGTCTGAGAAGGCATCTTAGACATGGTGGATCTGGAGCTGGGGTGCAAGAAGAGGGCTCAGCTGCACCAAAGGGCGGTAGGGAGAGTCTTCTGAAAGGGGTGCAGCGTCCTACAGGTCCTCGCCCTGTCCTGGGCTCTATGCAGGTCTGGGAGATGCCCAGAGGAACAGAAGCTCCTGAGAACCTGCCCTCCGGAACTTCTGCTTCTCTTGGGAGAAGCCTGGCTGTAGCATGAGCATCATGGATTCATGAAGGAAGAAGGAAGTTAAGTGGGGACCTTCTGTGGAAGGCCTTACATGTCAGGGAAAGTCACTCGTACTCAATTTTCTTGTGCTGCGGGTTCTGCTGAAGATCCACTTTTATCACGTCAAGACCCTTTTGGTTCCCATCTACATCTTGAAGAAATTGAGTGATTTTTCAGAATGTTTAAGAGAGAGTCCTGTACCTGCAAGAGACAGCATCAACACACAAGTTGTTCTTCGGTTAGAAGCTAGGCCTTTGCCATTGCCTGCTGGTTGTGACAGGCATGATTCGTCTTGTTCATTGGTCTCTGTAGCTGATAAGTGCTTATTAGGTGCCGCCTACCTGGTCAGGCTCTGTACAAGGCCCTGAGTTCACAGTGGGGAGCAGAGACACAGTCCCTACCCTTCATGGGGAGAGACTGGGCAGACAGAGACCAGGCAGATGTCAATTACAAACAAGGACAAGTGCTTTAATAGAGAACAAAGGATGTTGAGAGATAATGTAACTGAGCCAAGTGCACATGATGGGAAGTGAGGTTGGACCGAGACCTGAAGGCAGAATGCAAGCTAGATGAGCTAAGGGCGGAAGAAGGCAGGGCTCTGCACCTTCCCTCACCGCATTGACAGTGCCCAGTCTCACCTGTGGTCCTTTCCATCAGGGATTTGGCCCTCCATGGTGCTCTAGACCTTACCCTCCTCCCGCTCCTGTCCTCTCATCTGGCTCATTTACGTTGTCACCTTTTCCCCTCTCTGCTGCATAGTTCATATCAGCATATGCATTCCCAGTGAATTTTCCCAACTATTCAAAAAGATGTTCTCCCCTGATGCCATATCCTGTTCTAATGATCACGCCTTCTCCAGTTCCCTTCACAGCCAAGCTCTGGAGAGCAGCTTCTGCACAAGCTGTCTTCTCTTCCTCTGTTTCCATCCGTGCTCTGGTCCATTCCAGGCTGGCTTCCATCCTGATTGCCCCACAGAAACTGTTCTTTGCAGGTCCCCAGCCAAGTCCTTATTGCCACCTCCAGCAGTCTCTTTCTGTCTCCACCTCCTTGGACCCGTCAGCAGCATTCGAGTCAGCTGACAGCCCTCGCTGAGCTGCCCTCCTGTCGTGGCTGGGCACTTGGTGCTGGGCAGGCTTGCCTCGGGAGGTGTGGGCAAGCTGGGCTCCGTCTTCCTCATCCAGTGCCTCTGGTCTTGGGCCTGGATGTTCAGCTCCTCTCTCTCTATATGATCTCATCGAACTTCATGATTTTAAAATTACCAGATTACATCACAGCCCAGAGATGCAGACTAGTATCTGCATCTGCCTTCCCTGCCAGAATGTCCCCCTACCTACCTCCCAGACTTGTTGATCTCAGTGGCCACCCGCTGTTCCCCCTAGAGCCTAAGCTGGAACTTGACAGTGATCCTGCCTCTGCTTTCTCTTCCCCTCAGGCTCTGTCCATCAGGGTCCCGTGGGTTCTGCCTCCAGCCTCTGGAGTCCTCTGCCCTCCATTTGCACTGCCATCACCCTTGCACAGGTCATCTTCCACCATAGCGAAGGTTTTGGCACAGAGCCTCCTAACCGGGGTCCACTTCTGCTCTTGCCCCAGTGAAATCCGTCCTCCCAGAGCAGCCAGTGTGTAAAGTGGACACCAGACCATGCCATTCACCAGACTTCCCATTACACCTGGGACACAAACCAGACTCCTCCCTCCACCTACAAAGCCACCTCTCCAGCTTCACCCTAAGCCACCATTTCCCTAGATTGCTCTTATCTGCAGTGGACCTTTGTGATTTCTGTTACCTGTGTGTGGAATCCCCACCACCACCACCACCACCACTACCACCACCACGTCTTACCATGGTTGGCTTCTGCTTTGACAAAACAACGTCTTGAGGAAGCTTTCCCTGAACAGTCCTATCTCCAATTTTCTCTAGCCAGAGCCTTTGCAGTTTCCTTCATTACACTAACTGCCATCAAACTAACTCATCAGAAGATACTTTGTGTGTGTGTGTGTGTGTGTGTGTGTGTGTGTGTGTGTGTGTTTCTACCCTGTCATCCATTCTCTGTCTGCCTTCTATTCATCCCTGGGTCTTGGCTTAGCTGTCACTGAAGAGTCTTCCCCTGTTGCTGGGGAGTCTTCTTCAGTGTCCCTTCAATTATGCTGAGTTGGTCCTTTTCCTGGGTAGGGCCTGCCCCTCTGTGTAATGCAGGATGGCTCTTACACGCTCTTGAAGTTGCCTGCCTTCCCTGCCAGTTGTCTGTCTTGTTCACCTGCAAGGCCTTTCATCAGTATTTGCTGAGGGAATGCTTTATCTTCATGCAAAGCCTTCTGTAGCATTTGTATATACAGTGGCAACCAGTTTTAGAAATGTGATCATGAAATAGACTTTCTAAGGTAGATCTTGGTAAAAATCAAAAACAGGAAAAACTGCCAGGCATGGTCCCAAGTGAATTGGCTTATGCCTATAATCCCAGCACTTTGGGAGGCCAAGATGAGAGGGTTGCTTGAGCTCAGGAGTTCAAGAGCAGCATGGACAACATAGCAAGACCCCATCTCTACAAAAAGGTAAAAAATTAGCTGGGCACGGTAGTACACACCTGTAGTGCCAGCTACTTGGGAGGCTTAGGTGGGAGGATCCCTTGAGCCTAGGAATTTAAGGTTGCAGTGAGCCATGATTGCACCACTGCACGCCAACTTGGGAGACAGAGCAAAACCGTTTCAAAAACAAACAAAAAACATTGATTTCTTTTTTTGCTTGCACTTTGATGAATGTCCTCAATGATGATTTTTAAAACACATTTCAGAAAGCTCTATGCAGAACTGTGCCAGGGCATCGTGGACATAGCCATTTCCAGTGTCTTCCCACCCCCAGACGTGGAGCAGCCGCAGACCCAGCCAGCTGCCTTCATCAAGCTGTGACACAGGGGCACTCCCAGCTGCCTTGGCAAGAGCACGGGGTCCTGCTCCAGGGGACGGTGAAATGACTGGATTGCTCTTTATCCAGCCACAGTGGGGGAAAGAAAGGCAACTCGCAAAGATGGGATGGAAGAAGGCATGTGAGCAGAAGAGGCGACTCTCGAAGAGGGGGTTGCTCAGGGGGCTTCCCGGGTGGAGCTCTCAGCAATGCTGTTGAGACTTTTGAAAACTGAAGCAAATGTCTCTGAGAAGATAACAAAATATTATTCTTGGGGGGGAAAGCAGGGATTTGTCTTTCTATGTTCTCATCCTTTAAAACAACTTTGTACACAAAGGCAGCCTTGTGAGCAGAGCCCCTTCCCCTCTCCCCGGGAACAGCAGGGCACTGGGACCTCTGGTCGGTGCCTCCCACCCACTGCAGCCCTAGTGCCTTAGCTCCATGCCCGGCTGCAGCCCTGCTGCTCTGGGCCATGGATTGAACTTCAGAGCATTTTGGAAGTTGCCTGCGTGTTCCCCGCCCATCCGCTTCATAACACTCTGCTACACCAAGCTCTGGACAAGCATGCACCAACAGTCCTTAGTTTTGTGCTGGGCGCTGGCCTCTCGGCGAAGGTGGTCCCTCATCACCTTCCTGATGGCGTTTGGTCAGTCACCTGTCAGGGTTTGTGCGGGTTGGGCCCTAAACAGCATATGCTGCTCTAAGTCTGCTCTCTGCATGTTTTAGAAACAAAGTGGCAAGTCTGCCCTGAACCTGTAAGCATCAAATAAGCATGAGAGAGAAAAAACATGATATATTGCTTTACTTGATAGGTTGAATGTGGTAGGTCTTTCAAAATATGATGATTCAATTTTTTCTTTGTTTTAACCAGAATTCTAAATGCAAGTTTGCTGAGTTCCCTTTTTTTTTTAAACCTTTGTAAAAACCTCTCTGAGGATCAGAAGACAGTAAAATTCCACTCCCCAAGTGGCCCTGCCCCAGACACAGGTTGCTTTCCTCTTTTTGTTCTTCGTGTGTTATGCAGTAGCTAGAGGGTCAGGTTTCCTTCCAGGAAGGATTCTGAGTTCCTGTGCATCAGGAGAATATATATCCTGCCTGAATGTAAAAGTCCTCTAGAATGGGAAAAAAGTGGTTTCAGCTCCACACAGGGTCTTGTGAGTCTCAACAAATGTGTACTGTTAGAAGTGGTTTCCACTTACTCAATTAACTAATACTTTGTAGGCTTTTCAGGAGGCCACATTACTAGCAGTAGGAAGAACAAGATGTCATTTGTGTTCAGTGTGAGCTGAGTAATCAGGCCTTTCCTAGAGTGTCCTGGAAATCACAGTGACCCATTGAAAACCGCACTCCTCCCCAGAACGTGGCATGTCCTTTCTTCATGCCTGTGTGCACTGCATTCATTGTTTCTACTTGGCTCACGAAAACATTTCTGCAGTCAGGTGAGACTTTTACAGAAGAGGAGAAAATGAATGCCTCCTTGAACATGATAAGATGTGAGAGCTTACAATGAAAAGGCAATGATGATAGAAGTTATTTCATAGGTGCGGCACTAGTTGATAGGATGTGAGGGCGTTACTTTGGGGTGAAGTGGAGAGGGTCCCAAGTGAATGGGCTCTCATGGCAATTGGGAATGACAGTATAAATGTCCTGAGGGTTACCCAGAATACAGGTTTAAAAGTCTGCCTGTAGAGCAAAATAAAACAGTCAGTTGTAATTATTAATCCTTGAGGCCCAACGCAGCTGATGGGTTGGTGTTTGGGAACTTCTGAGAAGGGAGTGAAGTCTGATCAGATCCTGGGAAGAGGTATACCCAGTTAGAACGTATAGGGTGCTGGGTTCCTGGCAAGTCTGGGGGAGCTGGTGACAGGGAAAGCATGGACGTTTTTGTAATGCTGTCACATGCTAACACAGGTTTGTAATTATCTTTTGGACCCAAATTACATTGACAGAGATAAGAATTCAGATGTTAGGAAGACTGTGAATCTTGATAGATTTTCTAAGAAACCTAAATCAATGGCATATATATTAGGGAAGTAAGACTTTAAGAAAAAAAAAAGTTATTCCTTATTCCTCATGTGGCTTCCAATAAGTATCTTATACACTTATTTCTTTTTTAAAAATATTTTTAAAATTTTTTAAATTATTTTTTATAGAGACGTGGTCTCGCTATGTTGTCCAGGCTGGATTACAGTGGCTATTTGCAGTTGCAATCATAGCACACTGCAGCCTCGAATTTCTGGGCTTGAGTGATTCTCCCGTCTCAGCCTCCTGGGTAGCTGGGACTACGGGTGCATACCACCAAGCCTGGCTTTATTCATTTTTGGTCATGTGGAATGGCTGGTTCTGAACTGTTCCATTCCTTTCCATGATGTCCTTGACACAGAAGGTCATGCCTGGCTCCCAGTCAGGCCTCATACTTTTGGTCCATGTAAGTGCTGCCCGTTGCTGGGGGAGGAGCTATTGTTTATTTGGAAATATCAGTTGCAATCATGGTTCTGTCATTTGACTGCACAGTATCAGAGGAGCCTGTTAACCTCTCTGTGCCTTAGTTTCTTAGCCCATGAAAGAGATCATTGCCTGACCCAGGGACTACCTCAAGGGCTTTTGATGAAGACAAGTGACAGTAGGAAGACGCAAAGCCTTTAATACCAAGGTTCTCAACATTAAGCACATGCTGGAATGACTTGTGAAGTTTTTAAAAAATGTTGGTGCCCAAAAAAAAAAACCAAAAAAACAATGTTGGTGCCCACTCTTCCCCGCTCCTCCTGGCCAATTAAATCAGAACCTCAAACAGCAACATCTTTTGAGATGCCTTGAACCACTGCTTGAGAAGGAAGGACACACACATTATTACCTTGGAAGAATTGCATAAGGCTTATGACTTAAAAAAAAAAAAAATTCTTCTTGGAAACACAAGCATTTCTTTAAGAATGACCAGATATTGCCATATGTATTTCTGGTGCAAGCAAATGTTGTCTAAGCAGTTTCTCTCTTTGCTTGTCATAGCAGCATTTGGAAACTGGAACATGCATTCATTTATGTAAATAGCTTATGAAGCTTTGACAACAAATGTAAACAGACATGAAATCATAAACCTGCTAAATATGTATTAAGGTTATTAATTATTGAAAGTCCCCTTGCCCCACACTCAACTCCTATGGCAATTATGAACTCCATTTTACCAAGAACATTTAAGTGCCTCAGCATCTGTATGATATAGTGGAGCAGGTGCTGGCATAGGTACCAGCTGACGTGTGTCACTAGCTCTGTGGGATGATTGCCACATACATGGAACACCTGGGAGTGCTGGAAATGTACTGGGACCGAAGGTACAAAGTGTGTTTTCATTCACAGTGGAGGCTGTGGCAAGCAGGAGGAGGTCCAGCCCTCTTGCGGGTGTGGTAAGAGGCTCTACTAGCAAAGACGGGTGCCAGAGTGGGTTCCATGTAGCATGTGGGTGCTGTAGAGAAAATTCAATGATGTAATGACTGATCCTGGACACAAAATCTGTACTGGAGAGGAAATGACTGCTGAAATAAGGCAATTGTATGAATATTTAAAATGCCTGAAACACTAAAGTAAAGTAATGATATTTCAAGTGTTTTTGTGCCGTTTGGTTCTTGTTGACTGTCCCAGGATATCACTGGTCATTATAATTCACCACACAATTAGCCGGGCGTGGTGGCGCATGCCTGTGGTCCCAGCTACTCCGGAGGCTGATGTGGGAGGATCACTTGAGGCTGTGGTGTGAGGCTGCAGTGAGCCATGTTCACACCACTGTACTCTAGCGTGGGGAAACAGAGCGAGACCCTGTCTCAAAAATAAATAAATAAATAAATAAAAATCCATGATGCCATTACTCAGGGGTAAACAGACTTGCTGTAAAAGACCAGATAGTAAATCTGCTAGGCTTTGCAAGCCATATAGGGTCTCTGTTGTGTACTTTTTTTCTCCAACTCTTAAAAAATACAAAAACTCTTCTTAGCTCTTAGGCCATATAAAAGCAGGCCAAATGTGGCAGTAATTTGCTGACCCCAGGATGTTACCGGATACATAAGCGAACAGATTGTCCTTCAAAACTGACGAGCTGCTCAGTGAAGCACTGAGACAGTTTCAGCTGCCAGAGTCCCAGCCCATCGTTTCTCATGTGTCTTGTGTATTGTCTGCATCATGATACAATTTGTTAAGTGAGGCCTGTGGTTGTGAAAGAGAGTTGTGCGTGCATCACACATGGGGTGGAGCTGCAAAGGCTTCTGAAATCAGGCTACTTCATATAGCCAGACAGCCAAGAAGTTCCTAGAAAGCGTTTCACCAAGGCCAGGTTTTTAAGTATCTACAAACCTCATACACATCAGGTGCTTAGTCTTGTGGATAGAAAGTTTCATTAATGCAATTTGTCATTAAATTGTAACTTCCTGTGCAATAAGGCTGAATGCTTTGGGCATCTTTCCCTTGTATGGCTGGCCTGCCTTCTGTGGCTGCTTCTACTTCATAAATATACCTCTGGCACAGAGGAGGTTTCCATGCCAGAAGGCCTGGTATAGGCACCTCACTCTGAACAAGTTTCACATACAGCATGACACATTCCTACTGGACCCAGCAGAGACTGCATGGGCAGGGTGCAGGGGGCAAGCAGACATGGACTTAGGCAGGCAGCTAGTTAGGAGCCTGAGGGTGGACAGGTCCAAAGCCTTTGGTGGACTTCTCTTAAAGACTGGCCCCACTTGCTGTCAGTAACTGTACCTTCTTAACTTTAAGTTCTCCCATAGCCCAGAGGTGTAGTAATATTTTAAAGGTGTTTTCCCCAAAGCATCCCTCTATATCTTCGTCTATTTTGTATTGCCGTAATAGAATGCTACAGAGAAGTATATTTGGCTCACAGTTTTAGAGGATGAGAAGTCCGATATCAAGGGGTCATATCTGGTGATGGCCTTCTTGCTGCCTCATAGCATGGCAGAAAGCATCACATGGCAAAACAGAAAGGGAGTCTAACTCATCCTTTCACAAGCAGCCCACTCCTGTAATAACTAACTCAGTCCTGGGATAACATCATTAATTTATTAATGAGAGTAGCGCTCTCATGACCTAATAATCACCTCTTACAAGTCCCACCTCTCAACACTATTGTAATAGAGATTAACTTTCCAACACGTTTACTTTGGGGAACACATTCAAACCATAGCAATCCCTAAAGGCAAAGGAGAATGAACCCCTGTCCAATGCAGTACATAGTAGCACAACTTAAAGATTGTTACAAGCATAATTCCTTTTAAAACTTAGGAGAGGACATCAGTAGGAATAATAAAGTAAGAACCTCTGAAAACCCTTTCTTCCTTAAAGCAATGAGAACACTAGCAAAACTGTCTAGATATCTCATGGTTTGCTTTGCATTTCTCTGATGATTAGTGATGATGAACATTTTTTCGTATGTTTCTTGTCCATTTGTATGTCAAGGACATTTTAGATCGATAAAGGGATCAATCCATTAGGAAAATATGACAATGATAAACATATGCACCAAGCAATACACCCTAAAGATACATGAAGTAAAAACTGAGAGACCTGAAGGAAGAAACAGACAATTTAACTACAATAGTTGGAATCCTCAAAACTCCATTTCAGTAATAGCTGGAGAAACTAGGCAGAAGATCAACAAAAAAATAGAAAAACACAATAAACCAACTAGACTTGACAAATACCTGCAAGGCACTCCACCCAACAGCAGCAAAATACACATCCTTCTCAAGTGCACATGGAACATTCTCTGGGGTAGATCACATGCTAGGCCATAAAACAAGTCTCAGTAAATTTAAAAGAATTGAAGTCATACTACACATGTTCTCTATGTTGGAATAAAATCAGAAATCGATAACAAATTTTGTTAATTTCTGTATTAATGAAATACACAAGAGGTTGGACTAATAATAACTTTTCTTTTTTACCTACAAAGCATGAAAATTTTTTTTTTTTTTTTTTTTTTCTGAGACGGAGCCTTGCTCTGTCACCCAGGCTGGAGTACAGTGGCACAATCTCAGCTCAGCGCAACCTCTGCCTCCCAGGTTCAAGTGATTCTCCTGCCTCAGCCTCCCAAGTAGCTGGGACTATGGTGTGCACCACCACGCCTGGCTAATTTTTTGTATTTTTAGTAGAGATGGGGTTTCACCGTGTTAGCCAGGATAGTCTCGATCTCCTGACCTCATGATCCTCTCACCTCGGCCTCCCAAAGTGTTGGGATTACAGGTGTGAGCCACTGAGCCTGGCCCGACTAATAACAATTCTTTTAAAACTTCTCACAGGGAAAAGCTCAGGACCAGATGGCAACCCAGATGGTAAGGAATTAACACCAATATTTCACAGATTCTCCTAAAAAATAGAAGAGAAGGAAATACTCTTCAGCTAACTTTATGAGGCCACTCTTAATATTCTGATACCAAAAACAGACAAAGATGTCACAAGAAAAGTAAATAGCAGACCAATAATCTTTTAGGAATACAAATGGAAAAAATCTTCAGCAAAATACTAGTCAACCAAATCCAGCAACATAGAAAAAGGATTATATGGGCCGGGCGCGGTGGCTCACGCCTGTAATCCCAGCACTTTGGGAGGCCGAGGCGGGTGGATCACGAGATCAAGAGATCGAGACCATCCTGGTCAAAATGGCGAAACCCCGTCTCTACTAAAAATACAAAAAAATTAGCTGGGCATGGTGGCGCATGCCTGTAATCCCAGCTACTCAGGAGGCTGAGGCAGGAGAATTGCCTGAACCCAGGAGGCGGAGGTTGCGGTGAGCCGAGATTGCGCCATTGCACTCCAGCCTAGGTAACAAGAGCGAAACTCCGACTCAAAAAAAAAAAAAAAAAAAAAAAAAGGATTATACATTATGACTAAGTAGGACTTATCCTAAGATTACAATGTTTGGAATAACACATGTTCTCTTATGAGTGGGAGCTAGGCTGGGGGCGGTGGCTCACGCCTGTAATCTCAGTACTTTAGGAAGCCAAGGTGGGCAGATCACATGAGGCCAGGAGTTTGAGTCCAGCGTGGGTAACATGGTTAAATCTTGTCTTTACTAAAAATACAAGAATTAGCCGGCCATGATGGTGCATGCCTGTAATCCCAGCTACTCTCATGGCTGAGGCACACTTGAACCTGAGGAAAGGAGGTTGCAGTGAGCCAAGATCACACCACTGCTCTCCAGCCTGGGTGGCAGAGCAAGACTCTGTCTCAAAAAAAATTTAAAAAGTGGAAGCTAAACATTGGGTACACATGGACATACAGATGGGAACAGCAGACACTGGGGACTACTAGAGTAGGGGGAGAAGGAGGGGAGCAAAGGTTTAAAACTACTTATTGGTTACAAAACTACCTGTTGGAACCTGGGTGACAGGCTCAACCGTATCCCAGGCCTCAGCATCACGCAATATACCTTTGTAACAAACTTGCACATGTACCCCCTGATTCTAAAATAAACGTTGAGAAGGGGAAAAAAGAATGCAAAGCTTGTTTAACTTACAAAATTTACTTAATATACCACTTTAGTAGAAAAAAGAGGCAAAAAGCACATGATCATTTCAATCTACACTGAAAAAGCATTTGGCAATACACAACACTCTTGGGAAAAAACCTCTCAACAAGCTAGAAATAAATTACTTTCTCAATTTGATAAAGAGCATCTTTGGAAAAACCCACAGCCTACTATTAATGGTGATGTGAACGCTCCAGTTGGGAGCTTTCTTCCAGTATCAGGCACAAAACAAGTATATTTATTCTTGTCACTTCAACATTGTGCTAAATGTTGGACGCCCCCTGCCCCAGCCTCTCCATCCGAGACCGCCCGACCTCTACCCCACCTCCCTCCCCGGGCCTCCCCCAGGACTCCAGTCCAGAAGATGCGGGGAGGTTAGCGGGGCCCGACCACTGCTTGGCCTTCCAGGGGTGAGCCTCGCAAGTTAGGAGTTGGGTAAAGAGTCAGTCCGGGGCCCGGCATCCGATTTTTCGCTGAAGCAACGACTTTGTCTGGATGACTCCCCAGGGTCGGCATCCGCGTGGGACTGAGAACAGGTTAGGGGAAATAGATGGGAACCTGAGAAGACTGCTCTCGTCCAATCCTAATTGACTGAGCTAATGAGAGCCAAAGAGGTCACATGCTCAACCGGGCGAGGAGTGGGTTTCCACCTTCGGCATCTTTAGCAGAGGAGGGAGATGCGTGGGGCGGAAGATGGGAGAAGGGGGACCCGCCACGCTCTGGCTGGATACAGCTTTAACCGGCCCGTTCACTCGACGGTTTTGGTTCTACGTCGACCCCATAAAACCGTAGGGCCTAAGGCGGGCGGAACAAGAGGGAACTACATTTCCCAGCAGGCTGCGGAAGCGGGACTCCGGCCACTACTTCCGGCGCGTACTGAGCGACCGGCGTTAGGTGTGCAGGCAGCCACATGGATCCCTGCAGCCGGTGGCGAAACCTCCCCAATGGGCCTAGCCTAAAACACTTGACCGACCCGTCTTATGGAATCCCGCGGGAACAGCAAAAGGCAGCGTTGCAGGAGCTGACGCGGGCGCATGTGGAGTCCTTTAACTATGCTGTGCACGAGGGTCTCGGCC